CCCCCGCCCCCACCTAGAGAGCATTGGGACCATTCCCATCCCCAGGGGAGGCAGCAGCAGCCTGTTCTCCACAACCCAGTGGGTCTGCTAGGGTGTAAATCTTGGGCACCTTCCCCTCTCCAAGCTGTGCACATGTGGTACCACACAGCTGCCACAGCTTCCTTGGCTTGCTGTTGGAGTCCAGCAGCATGGGGATCAGCTGGCAGTGGGGTCATTTGCTCCAGTACAGGGGGACTGTTCCTGGTTGGGGAGGGCAGTCCTGCCCAGGGAAGTGGCACAGTCACGTGAAGCACTGTCCTCTTGCAGGCCAGGTGCCCCAACCACCCCTCCAGTTTGCAAGAGTGGATCAGGCTGCTTTCCTCCCCGCTGGACAGCAGGCATGTGGGATCATGCCCATAGCTCACACAGCTCCTTTCTGGGCTATTCCCCTCTGGAGGCAACTGCCTGGCCTGGGATGAGGGATTGCCCTCCTGAGTACCATCTTGTTCATCACCTGTGCTACAGCCAGGTTAGAGCCAGCTCCAAAATCTCTGCAGCCTTGCCAGCAGTGCTGGCAGACACTGTCCTCCGCAGTCCAGGTTAAATGAGCCTCTCCTCCCAGTCTCCTGTTCCTCCCAGTATCTCCTCTTGGCTGCATCCCTGTGCAGAAGTCTTCCCTGGCCAGCCTGGAAGGAGCACACCCTGCAGAGACCCTGGGAGGAACAGTTCCAGCAGGATGGGGAAACTGAGGCACATGGGAGTAACTTGATAAAATATCCCTGTGTTCTCCCTGTGAAGTTCCCCAGCTGTGGAAGACCAGTGGGACAGAAGACAAACACCTCAGGCCAGTGAATGTCTTCTTCCTCTGACCCTACCAAGGGAGCAGGGATTGACATTTTGACTTACCAGGATCCTGGATGCCAGTGGCGCCTTAGGGCAAAGAAAGCTGGGCCTGAGCCCAGCTTTGTCAGCACCCCACAGTCCTCCTGCTGCCTCTCCAATCCCTCTACTACAATGGGCTCCCAAGGTTGGGCTGCTGCTCAGCCCCAGCTCACTGGAGTGTGATCTTGTCCCCGGGGTCAGCAGCTCCCAGGACAGTCCATGCCTGGGGACGCCAGAGTGACAGTGCCCAAGGGCCAAGGGACAGGTGGTGTGGTTCAGGCTGGGGTGCTGTGGCAAGAGCTGAAAGGGGAGTGTCTCCCATGCAAGGACAGTGGGGCTGCTTGGGCATCATGGAGCAGAGTCTCCTCCTGCAGCTGATGGGCTGTAGGTCTCTCCCAGGTGTCCAGGATGCTGGCGTTGTGCCTGCTGTCCCTGGCCTGGCTCAGCGAGGGCTCCCAGCGCAGCGAGCCCATGTTTGCAGCCGTCACCCACCGCCTTCTCCCGCCCGACTACGACAGCAATCCCACACAGCTCAACTATGGCGTGGCTGTCACCGACCTGGATGCCGATGGTGACTTCGAGATTGTGGTGGCAGGGTGAGTGGTGCACCTAATGCCTCAGTGAACAGCAGGACTTGTGGCCCTGCAGGGATAGGAATTCCTGCCTCCTCTGTGGTCTTGTGGCCAGCTGGGAGAATTGTGCACAAAGGTGGGTGGGTTGGGGTCTGCATGCACCCACCAGTGGATGTGTGCGTGTGTATGTGTGCATCCACACAGGGTGTTGATGCCAGCTGAGTGCCTGTGTGAGACCATGTGAGTGCCCCCATCGGTCTCTTCTCTGTGGGGTGGTGGTGGCTGCCCAGCAGCCTGGGTCCACCCTGCAGTGCACAGCCAGCATGTCCCCAAGCCGTCTCAGCTCCACTGACAGGACTCAGCTCTCTCTGGAGATTCAGTTAATTGGCTGGAGGTTTTTTATAGTCCTTTATTGGAGTGACGGCTGGGAAGGGCTGGCAGGAGCCCGGGGAAGGAGGGAGCTGTGTGCTGTGCTGCCAGTGCCCAAGTGGGGCTGGACACAGAGCAGCTGCTGCCAGCAGGTCCAACCCTGGTCAGGAAGAGCAGGGACCATGGTGTAGGCTCTGTGTGTGTGCTGGCACTGCTGTGAGCTGCTACTGCAGGGTATCTGTGTACACACATCCTGACTCCCTAAAGAGGCTTGCACACACAGGTGTGCCCACCTGGAGAGTGTTCTTTACCCTCACAGATCCCATCAAGCTGGATGGGGGTCTGATGGTGGCCAGCAGTCTGGCCCTGCTGCTGCTCTGAACATCACCGAGGCAGGAAAGCATGGGCAGCACTGGGAACCCTGGAGGGGTCTGGGCCACCACTCCCAGCTGTGCTGAGTCAAGAAGGCAGCTGGGGTTTTGTAAGCAGTCGTGGTGCCCGTTGTATAACTTGTTTACTGGTGCATTGGGCAGGAGCGGGCGAGGAGCCAGCGGGACGCACTGAGAGGATTTGCCTTGTATGCCGACTTCCTTGCCCTGGGAAAGCTCTGCAAGCAGGGACCTGCACCCCATCCTGTATTGCTCTCTGCCTGGCCCCCACTGCTTCCCTAGTCTTGCCAGACATGGGATGCCTGACAGGGTCCTTGGCCTCCATGGACTCTGCAGTGCCCATCATTGGGAAAATCCAGTATCACACCCAATGTCCCCCCAGGGATGAGACACGGGGGCTTTCATCCCATCACAAAGCCTTGGGAAGCCACTACCCCTGCTTACACTCGCAGGTACAATGGCCCCAACCTGGTGCTCAAGTATGACAAGGCACAGGGGCGGCTGGTGAACGTGGCAGAGGATGAGCGGGGCTCCCCGTACTATGCACTGCGGGACCGGCAGGGCAACGCCATCGGTGTGACAGCCTGCGACATCGACGGCGATGGCCGCGAGGAGATCTACTTCCTAAACACCAACAATGCCTTCTCTGGTGAGCCTTGCCGGCAGCCAAGCCCCAGGCACGGGGGGAGCCCCCGGCATGGCTGCCCGCGACCTTCGGCGTGTGAGGGATGTGTGCGGGCTGGAGTTAATTTCTCAGTTGAGTGGCTCCATTGATTGATGGCAGCACAGGTGGGACACTGAGCCCAGCCAGCCGAGTCAGCACTTCCAGCTGCCCATCGCCCTTTTCATGGCACTCCAAGTGGGATGGAAGATTCCCTTCCACCCCCTCGATTGTCCTGCCCCAGGGACCCTGCACTGTAAATCCCAGCTGTGCCCTGCAGCAGTTGTGCCCTTTGGTCTCATGGCTTTCCTGTGCCTGCTGCACCAAGTCAAGTCTTATCCTGCCCTTCTAGTGCTGTCCCTGCTCCTGGCATGCCTGTCACAGGAACAAGACTTACATTCTCCAAGGTGGCACTGGGAATCCCTAGAGCTCCCTGGCTTGGTGCTCCAGCCCAGCTCTGCTGTGTGTCCCTGACCTCCAGGCAGCAGATCTGTCTTCCCAGTGCTCCTAATTACACGGGCTGGCAGTGGCTGCTGGCACACCTGTCCCTAAATCAGGCTCTGCCATTGGCGCTGTCACAAGCGGTGTAGCTCGCTGACTGTGCCTGCCACTGGATCGATTTCTTTTTTAATATATTTTTTTGGTACCTTCCCAGGGATGATCTACAGGACTGTGCCCCATTGGGACATATTTTAGTTTAATGAGTTGATTCTTCTGTGTGTCTCTCAGTGGCCCTTAAGGGTCATGGGGCTGTTGCAGCAGCCCAGCCCTATGGCACTAGGGGGCTGCAGGGACAGTAGATATTTGGGATGCTCTGGAAAAAGAGTACATTTTCCACAACGTCCCTTGCTGCAAAGCACCTTGTCCTCAAGAGGAGGCAGGGTGCTGAAGCCCACCGACCTGTGCCCCCTTCCCCAGGCATGGCCACCTACACAGACAAGCTCTTCAAGCTCCGCAATGGGCGCTGGGAGGACATCCTGAGTGACGAGGTGAACCGGGACGTGGCCAGCCGCTTTGCTGGGCGGTCTGTTGCCTGCGTGGACCGGACGGTGAGCAGGCAGGGTTCTGCAGACAGGAGCATCTCTGCCCCACTTCCCACTCCCAGTGCCCCTCAGTGGAATCCTGAGGGCCAGCTCTCTTTACTGTCCCTTCCCGTCCCCTGCTTGGGCCAAGAGTGCCCTCCAGCTGCCCGGTGACTGCCAACGCCCCTAGCTGTAGGGACTGTGGATGCCTGTCCACACGGTTGCCACCAGCTGATAAACGTGCCTGTCGAGGTGATTTATGTTCCTGTCACCTGCTCTTTCTTTGTCCTCCTCCTCCAGCGGTTTATTTCCAAATGATTATCGCTAAATCAGGGTGCATCTACTGCACGGGACAAAGGAGGCGGTGGAAATCGGGAGGCCTTGGCACACCGGGGATGCTGGGAGGGGGGATAACGTGCCACGTGCCAGCGCTGTGACCAGAGAGCGCCTGGAGGCAACAGGTCACATCCCTACCCTGGAATGCTTTTTGCCGTGGGTTTTGCAGAGCTCTTGCTCAGCACACAGAAGCAGTGCCTGCTCCCACGGAGCACTAAGAGCATTCACAGCAGGCATCCTCTGTGGTCCCCGCGGCGATGAGTTGTGGGTGGGTGGGTGCTGAGGCGGTGCTGCCGGCTGCAGGGCTCCGGCAGGTACTCCATCTACATCGCCAACTATGCCAGCGGCAACGTGGGCCCCCATGCCCTGATTGAGATGGATGTGGCTGCCAGTGACCCTGCCCGCGGTGTCGTGGTGCTGGTGGATGTGGCCGCCCAGGCTGGCGTCAGCAAGTACACAGGTACACCCGGCTTCTGTGGCCCTGCGGAGGGGACTCGCGGCAGGGCACGGCGAGCCCGGTGCGG